GTAAAGACACAAGGAAAACTAACAAATGAGTCCACAGAGATTGTGAAATCCAGACATTAACAAGGTTTCCAACAGGCTGAGGTTGTTCTTTCCTGTCTACCACGGAGAAAGCAACACTGACCAGAAAAGGCAAATATTATCAGCAGAACAGTATCCTTGTTTAAGCCACACTGATATTGAAGTTACATTTATTTTTTGTGTGCACAATCTTGCTGTTAGAATGAAGAGGTCATTTGTATTTATGATAGAGACTGAGGATTCACCCAGAGTATTTTCACATTTTGGAGGTGGTTTTCAACTCTGAGAGGACCATTTCAATTAATTCTATTAATTAATTAAAATTAAATTGTCACATCCACAGATAACCTGGATAGGTGTCACAGAGCCACCCATCTGGTGGCAACATCATAGAATCAAAGAATGTAGAGCTTTCCAACCTCCAGCTCCTCTTCTAAGAGTTCTCCTTTTGAGAACAAAGTTGTATTTGTTCAGGCATCTAACAGGACACAACACACACGAGGACATTTTAAGCAATAACTGCCATTGCAGAAAGCATTTTATAGCAAAAGATACTGTGCTGGAATACATGCAGACTCCTTAGGAGAAGACCCATAACTCATTCATCATCCTGTAAAGACTGCAAAGCTCCACTACTCAGGAAATGTGCCTGAAAAACAGCCACTAAACTGCCTAAAATTCTGATAAATAATAGAAAGTGGTCAAAGCAACCAGAGAGAAAAAGAAAAAACTGAACTTCTTTATTTCATTTTTTTTATTTTAGGTATTTTAATCAGTTTCATGTTCTATACCAAATCTACTATAAAAGGAAGCAAAAAAAATTAACTCAGAAAGTCTCTGTCATTATGACCAACATACTAATGCACCGAAATATGAACTATAAAAGAGAAAAATTGCAGTCTTCCTAATGGGAAAAATGGCCTGTGACAGCTACTGCACTGTGTTATCAAGTAATGATGACAGATATTATAAAAAATAGTAACTATAGCAGCATTTATGTCCTCAGTACTGTCATACAATTCTTGCACTGTGCAGCTACTACTAACAAGTTTCAGGGACACCTTTAAGAGCTCAGACAGCTGTGCTAGTCCCTCACTGCTGCTGCTTATCGCACACACACAAATTCTTTGAGAGTCTGCATAAGCATAAAAACCCTACCAAGAAATATGGACTGCTTAGTAGAAGAACAGGAATTGTCCACAGGAAGAATATAAAGAGATGTGCTTCTAGGAGGTAGAATGACACTTTTCAGTATCATAACATTTTATTTCACCATTTGCTTTCAGTTTTGTATGGGGTTTTTTCCAGTCTTTCATTTCTGCACTGCCAGTATTAATGGTACCAGCATAATATGCTAACATAAAAAACAAGTGACAAAGTTTGAAACTGGTACATCAATATCTTGTAAAATTCTATTTATATGCATGTCTTAGCTATTCACATTTGTTAGTTTAAAAAAGAAACAAACAAACAAACACCAAAAAACACCAGGTTTTTTTCTGGCTAAACAGCACAGATACTCAACAGGTTGTTTCAGCATGCACATATAGACAGTATTTCAAGTTGTACCTCGTTTCCTCTTCCTCCTCTGTGTGATTTTGAGAAGTAAAAGTATTTCAATGCTGCTGGAGGCTGCTGAAATACTTCCTCCATCTGTTAATCTCAAGTGCTGCAAAAGAATACAACTGTGGCAGAAGCCTCTCTAACTGCTCAGTGAACAGCTGAACTATGGAGTCACAGGCTTTGCAGGCACAAACATTCTCACATCAGGAGACATGAGTGACTGGAGGGTTTCTGCTGACAACCAGACCTAATACCAGAGCAAGACATGGGCCCAGGCATTTTGAACATGAGCTGAGGGCACAGCAGCTCCCCCACTGACTGGCTGACTCAGAAAACACTGTGTATCAAAACCTGCTCAATTAAATTCTACTCTCAGGAATTTTCTAAAGCTGAATTATACCACCAAGTAAGCCACCAATCATAACAAAGTGGACATGCATGATCTGGGCACAGGTTTTCATGTTGCAGTTAGATACATCAAAGGGATGCCAAGGTTGAAATCAGGTTAAGGTTGAGCGGAAGTTAAAGCACCAGCCTTGTTAACAGCAACCATAGTTCCCTGTCAATGACAGGAGGTTCCTGCTGCTCACCAGCATGTACACTTTGCCCTGTGACCAACAAAAACAAGCCCTCATGTCTCACTTTTTCTTCTGTGTGTATGTGGCAACAGTTAAAGTGATCAAACAAAATCAAAGTAATAATAAAGCTCTTTAAAATTATATATAACATTTAAGCATTAACAGTTAAGAGTCATATGAGTTTATCAAAGTTTCATAAAACACAGGCTCTGCTGCAGGGCCGGGGAATTTTCTATTGTTACTAATAAAAAGCCTAAATTTCTTCTTCCTTTTGCACATGCCAGATGGCTTGCTGGATTATTTAATGAGTTAGAATAAAAACGCTCTCTTAGAAGCAAAGAAAATTCAAACATTTTTATATAGAATCAGAAACAATACAGCCAATATGCACATTCTTTTCTGGTTTTCTCAAGAAGCCAACACTAAGACAGCTGCTAATTGTATTTTGTTTTCTATGCTCCCAGGGTCAGACAAGCACTCCTGAGGCCTCGTGGAAGGGACCAGAGCTGGCAAAGCAGGGACAGACAGCCCTTTCAGTAACAGACAGCTGGCATTTCAGCCAGGCTGCAAGATGGAAATACACGTTAAATACATTTGAGAATCTGGATAAGAAAAGTAGCAAAACTTACTCTGGGATCTTACAGTAATGAGAACCTCAAGCACTGATACACATGAGGAAAAGTGCATCTACTCTCTGGATTCCTGTATAAGAAACACAAACACGTGCTTCGTGCCACTGCCATCACATGCAAACAAAGCACATAGAGCAATGCTGCTCTCCAAATCCAGTAAATCATGACAAAAAAAAAATACTGGAGGGTCCAAAATCCACTGTAACCAGCACAGCCAATAGAAATGAATCAGTTTGCTACAGTTTTGCTTTTGTTCCACTAGAGAAATGCTCTGGGCAAAATCCCTGCCAAAAAGGATCCCTGCTTAAAAGTTGCATCAAAGAGTTTGTAACTGTAAGCACAGCCATTTATAAACAGATGCTAAATCTCAGAGCAGTAGCAGCTACTTGTCTTAGGGTTCCAAAATTGGCTGCAGTTTAAATCTGCCTTTCAATCTCTATTGGAACATTTTGCCTTTGACCTGAAATCTTTCACACTTCCTTTTCTTTGCAGGAGTCAATCAATGTTTGCATAATTAATATTTTAACCTGTCCTTTTTTTTCAAGTTTATTTAAAAATAACACACATCTCTGTGTTCAGCAGAAGCAATTAGAAGTTTTCAATTATCTCAGCAATATATATTCAGATAGTAAACTCTGCCTAACTCTTAATGCTTAATTATGAGAGTTAAGAATCTGATAAGAACAAATGCAAAGGCCCAGAGCAAATTAATACGTGAGGGACACACTGTATGGCCACAGCCAGTTGGTCCCAAACAACTCTCCTCAGAGCTTGTGCCTTCAATAGTTTTCACTGAATTCAGTCCTAAATGCCCTACATGTAAAGGGATGTTGCTAGAAGAAAACACTCATAAAGGTCATGTTGTTTCATTTAAAATAAATATTACTGTTTTCTCAGTCCTTGTTACTCCTCTAGAACTCTGTGGTGGCTTGTCAGATGTTTTCCATTTTACAATTTTCAGACTGACAAAAATGACAGACTGATGAAAAAATCCAACACTTCTTCAAAATTACTTTCAGTTGCCAGGATTCAATGACCAGTGTAGTAGGCTGACATGCCCAAGTACACTAAGATTTTCTCTTTTATCACCTGACACAATCCAGCATGTCTACAGAATTTATAAACCTTAGGACCAAACGTAACTGATGTAATTATGAATAACTTCAGAAATGTATTACTTAACAAAACATTAGGGCTTCTAAAAAGTGCTGAATTTTTAAAGCTTAGAATAGAAAAGAACAACTCAAAGTAGATGCAACAGCAGGTTTCAGCACTGAACCAAAAGGAACACTTCCCCCACTCCCCTTCAAATCAGATCCACTTCTATACTAGGAAGAGCCCTCTTTCATGTCATGTAGGCTAGATTATGAGTTCTACTGACCTTTAAAGAACAGATAATTTCTTTTTCTCAGGTCTATATTAAAGTTTGTTCCATATATTTATACAGAACTGTTCCCCTAACAATGCCATGAAATAAAGTGCATACATGAGCTTTTATCAAGCTACTTCCAAATCAACTACCTTATGATTTCACTATCAATTTCTTGTACTCTAATAAGCCACAAAGTAGAGGTAATGCCTTCCTACCTTACCTCTAAACAATTTGAAATGGGAGAAAAATCCTTGGAGTGTA